CGACTGGCTGTCGCCATTTGGAGTTTTTATGTTCATTCTGCCAGACAAAATGTTTCAATTCTTTCAACAGATGGACAAACCGACATATGAATTGTTTCCGGTGTAAAAAGTCAAGTGTGTTGCTTTGAAAAATTGTTGGAAATAGAACCATAAAAGCTTGTTGAGAAATAACAGGGAATTGTATTTACAGCCTTGCCCAGGCGTATATTTTCATCAATAATGGGTAGAACATACGTCGAAAAACCTGAGAACAATACAGCTAGAATGTCTTTGCACAGGAGCCCACAGGGGCATATAAAGATAAGCAGGGGGAAAAACCACTAGGGGAAGTCGAATAGAGAGTGAAGTTAAAATGATGGGAAGGACATGGAGTGAACTGTATACAATAGCAAAGGTTAGAACTACTTAGCGTGAGTTGGTTAAAGGCCTACGCTCTATTGAGGAATGGAAGGCAGAAGAAGAAGAAGAAGAAGAAGAAGAAGAAGAAGAACAACAACAACAACAACAACAACAACAACAACAACAACAACAACAAAGAAGAAGAAGAAGAAGAAGAAGAAGAAAAGAAGAAGGAAGAGGAGGAGAAGAAGAAGAAGAAGTATAAACGAATCGTATGATGTGGTCAGCACCAACCTGGCCGCCTTTACTTCCCAGTACTTTATCTTGTACCCTTTTTGAGCTAGGTCTTCCTGGCAACCAAGGTCATTTCTGGAGAAATTCCGACTGGATGCGGATTTGAACTTGAGACCTTCGGATGGGGTTTTACTTTTGATGATTAACGGTCATGCACTCACTGAATTCGACTTGGTTATATTCTTGTATTTATAGATACAGGAAAAAAAATTACTTAGTTTCAACAGTAGTCAAACGAGTGGATAAGATGATGCAATCTATATTGTTAAGAATTATCATCATCATCATCAGGTCTTTTGCAGAACGTCGCTTCCACCACGGTCTGCCTTAAAGAAACTAGGTCTCTCGCCAGCTCTCCCGCTTCATGTACTTTCATGCTCAAAGAGTCACTTATATCCTAGACCCATCTTCGTGTTGGTCGGCCCCTGCCTCTCCTTCTGGTACCACGCCTTCTGCTATAATTTTTTCCAATCCGTCGTGGCTCTTGATATGACCAAAATATTTCAGCCTCCGAGACAGGATGCTGTTTATTAGCCGGTCTTCCTTGATGTTCAGATCTTTCAAGATGTCAGTATTTTTAATCTTCTTTGTCCGAGATATTCTGAGAATCTTTCTATAGCATTTCAGCTCAAAAGCCCATATTCTCTTTCTTAAGGACTGGGAGATAGTCTACAATTCACATCCGTATGTTGCTACAGGGAAGATGCATGCTCTAAAAATTCAAAATTTGATCTCCTTGCTGGTGCTTAACCATAGACTTTTAAGGCTGTTTATTCTTTGCGTTGCTATGGTCATCCTCCTATTAATTTATGTCAAACAGTCTCCATTGCTATATATATATTATAAGTAAAAAAAGTAAAGTTCCCTTTTCACGCCTTTCGGCGCATCGGGCATATGGGCAGAGCGTCCCATATTTTTACAGACCATCAGCACTCTGTGGGTAATGTGGTCAGCATTACGCCGGCTGTCTTTACTTTCACAGGACAGCCCATCCTGGTACCCATTTTAGGCTGGGTCGACCTGCGACGTCCCATACCACGATAAAAATCCACGCAGCCCACGCAGGTTTCTATCGCGGTATGCTGGCTTACGAGTCGGACTCGCAACGCCTTAGTCACGGACGCCGCATATATATATATTATAGAGCCTAGATATTCAAAGTTTGTGAAATTTTCAATTTCTTTATAATTTATTGTTATTTTTTGGGTGACAGCCAGTTTTATCTTTGAATATTATTTTTCATTTTCTTTAAATTCAAGAACAGATTTTGATCTTCTCTGTGCTTTTGGATAGACAATATTAAATGATCCATTCCCTTTACGCTGTTCGAAAGGAGGACTGTGCGAAGTTCCGGAATAGGGTTGCCACCAATTTTGAGCCGATCATAACTGTCACAAGTCTGGTCATTTTTGACATTTCTCATTATATTTTCTGCGTATATATTGAATAGGTATGGTGAGAGAATGCACCCCTGCCTCACACCCTTTTGCACCAAAAACCAATCATATGTTTCACCAGCTGTTCTGATGGCTGCTTGTTGTTCATGATAAAGATTTTTACTTACATGCACTAAATGCGATGCAAACCCTATACGTCTGATAATAACCCACAGTTTCTGATGTTGGACACAATCAAATGCCTTGCTATAATCAATCGAACAGGCATAAAGATCTGCGTTGAATTCTCTTTATTTTTCAAAAATTATTTTCATATTAATGATGTGGTCCCTAGTTCCTCTACCATGTCTGAAACCCGCTTGTGCTTCATGTAGCTCAGATTGTAATTTTCTTTTAATCCTCTTCATGATAATTCGTAAGAGGATTTTGCTAGCATGACATATTAAAGCTATGGTAAGGTAGTTGGAGCTTAGTTTCAGATTTCCTTTCTTTGGGAGAGGGATACGGATTTTTTTTTTTCTTTTAACCACGCTTTAGGCCAAATGCCACTGTTCCAGATCTTCGTGCAATGTGCTTGGTAGATTCGGACGATGGCCTCTCTTCCTGCTTGAATTAGTTCTGCTGTTATTTTTTGTCGCAACCTGGTGATGACTTTCCTTTCTTCAGGCTGTATATTGCTGATCGTACCTCATCCAGTAAAGGCTCTGGTTCTTTTTTATAAGTTTCATAAGTTGAATTACTTGTCAGATTTTTATACATTTCTCTATCTTTCTAATATGTCTTTGGTTTCCGTTGATGTGTTACCGTTTTTATCACTCATTACATGAAAAGAAGGCCTGAATTCGCCTTTCAGTGTTTTAATTTCTTTAAACATGTACTTTCATGTATTTTCGAACAACGTAAAGGAAATAGAACATTTAATATTGTCTCGTCCTTGCATCTGGAGTTGTTTAATTTGTTTACATGTATTTATAGTAAAATGTTTTTTATCTTCTTTCGTGTAGTTCCTATATGCATGGCTATTTATTTCTGTCCCTACTTGCTTTAAATTTCTTCTTTCTTCTGTCAGCTTGAAGGTTTTTTATGTAATATAAATCTGTTTTTTGTGTCGTTTTTTAGGAATCATATTCTGAGCTGTTGTGATGATGATGTTTCTTGCTTCATCGGCCAACTCATCAGGTGTAATATCCCCCTGCACTGCCATGAGTGCCTCAAATTTGTTTTTAACCTCAATGCTGTTATCATTTGGCAAATTACCTAAATCAAAACGTATTGGCTTAGCCCCTTTCAGAAAATTTTTCAATTTTATTTTAAACTCTGCAACATGAAGTTTGTGATCTGTGTCAAAGTCAATTCCGGGGAGTGTCTTTGCAGATGTTATACATGTAATCCTTTTTTGTTGTTGTTGTATTAAAATATAATCAATTTGGTTCCGGCTATTTCCATCCAGTGTCGTGTAGAACCTTTTTAGGTGTTGTTTAAATAGTGTGTTGATAATAGACATATTCTTTTCTATACAGAACTGGATCAGTCTCTCCCCACTCTTGTTTCCGTCACCTATGCCGAATGGACCTCTGACTATTTAAGAATTATACCATGCTAAAATTTTCAACGTCAAAGCATATTAAACCAAATTAACTGTCGAGAGAGGTTGGAAATTAAACGGTGTTAATCGAAATATTAACAAAACGTAAAATACAAATGTTGTTTCGAGAAATAGTCGGAAAACTAAAATTGAAATGTTGTCAGGAGAAATAGTAAGAAAACTTAAAAGGAAATCTTGTTAGAGAAACAAAAAACTTAAAAATGTCGAAAGGCTACGATAATTAGCCAGAAAAATTGAACCTGAACTTGTATTATTAAAAAAGTCAGAATACTTGGTGTTGCAACAAATAATGGAACACTTACAAGTGCAATAGTTTCATATTCTATAGTAACAAAACATGTAATTGATATTGCGTAAAATAGTCAAAAGGGATTTATTATACTGAAATAGAGAAGCCAGTTAGAAAAAAAGAGAAAGATAGACAGAAAGACAGACAGAAAGACAGAAAGACAGACAGACAGAAAGACAGAAAGACAGACAGACAGACAGACAGACAGACAGACAGACAGACAGACAGACAGACAGACAGACAGACAGACAGACAGACAGACAGACAGACAGACAGACAGACAGACAGACAGACAGACAGACAGACAGACAGACAGACAGACAAAGTTGGTTTGTTCTCTCCACAATTCTGTGTATTTTACCTTAATGAGTGTTTTCATTTATTTTAATGACAAAGAATGAAAAGTCGTTTGAGGTCGCACAATACTCAAAAGCCAGTGCAATGAAGTTAGAAGAGTTAAAACACAATCTTTTAAAGTACTTACCAAACAGCCGAAGAATCACGCAACCAACCAACTAAACAATTGACCAAGTTAGCAATCAGTTGATTAACCAAATAATCAAGGCAATTAACGACTAATCAAACAGACAGTCAACCAAGTAACCAAACCAGCAACTAATCAATGAAACAACTGCTGATACTAAACAAACAAAACAGTAAAAAATCCCTTGACAGTTGGAATTCGAAAAGAGTAACCTAACGGCGTTGCCCGGGCAAAATTGGTAGTAAAAATCTACCCAAAGTATTTCAGGATCGTTGCCGGTGCTACAGATTCTGTGCACTGTGCTGAGCTTTTTCGGACTCAGACTTGAGTTAGAAGAAAGTACGGAACACTTATGGGTTGCTACCAGTGTGCCATAATTTTGATCCGTTGTTCAAACTTCAAACAACCAATTAGGAAAGCTACTTAAATGTTGGACACGGCAAATTTGAATTCTTGTGTAACCCCATATATTTGTGAATGTTTGTATTGCAGTCTTTGTTCATCGAATTCATTTCTCTTTCCCGGTCTTTTATCAGTGCCCATAAATACATAACAAATACACTCATTATTTCATATCAACTCTCCATTTAGGGTTGATGACGTACGCAGACGAAAACGAGTACCGCCTTGTCAGGGATCTGATGAGCAGTTACGACAAAAGAATTCGGCCATCCCTCAATCATTCGGAAACCCTGAACGTCACTTTTGGTTTAGCTTTGGCGCAGATTATAGATGTGGTAGGTAGTTCCTTTTCTTCTCTTTATTATGTTCTGCCAAAAACTGCCAATTACTGCCTTCATTTTACCACTTTTGCGGTGTAGGCATGGGGATCTTTGAGTCTGAGGATTTATGGCCGCATGGCTAGTGCTGTCGCTACGACTGTGCAGGTGATGATTTTACCGCCCCCCCCCCTTCCCCTCCTCCCAAACAGAAAAAAAATCCCCAGCCTTACCAAGGATTCGAATCTGGGTTTCCTGCTTGGGCCAGCCGCTCCTCTTCATTATATTCAGTGACGTTTAATTATTAACATTCATTTTTTTCACCTTACTGCAGTCATTCCCATCACTGAGATTTCTTTGACATTATATTTGATTTATATACTGGTTTTTTATTTTTAATAATTTGTATTCTCCTTTTTCTTCCGTGCAAATTAACATGTATAAGAAAGTGTGAACAAGGAACTACGCATGTAATTAGCAAGAAAGGACATATGCGATGAAATGAGCGTCGTGTGTGTAATAAGTGTGCAATAGAAACAGCATCTATGCCTGAAGATATTTGCTGCTGGAGACGGAGCCTGTTTGGTTATGCCCGGTGTGCTATGATATCGATTCTTAAATCAGTAAATACAACTGCTCTCTAGCTCTGACAAATGCCCAACTCCAAAACAAATAATACAAGATGTGATCATCAACACATGAAAATACGTAATAAGCAAACAGCAATATAAATTTATCGGTGAAAGAAAACTTACTGAACTGAAAGGCGGATATGGATCAAACAGTTGTTTTTTAAATGTCAAGCAGAAAGGGTGAGCAGTTTCAAGACGGGGAAAAAAAACATCAAGTAGTAGCCTTTTTTTTTTTAAATCATACGTGCGTGCATGCATGCTGGCGCACATGCTCGTGTATATATGTGAGGGGGGATGGTGTGTGTGTGTTCTTGCAACATAAATTTAACCCTTCTGATTTGCGTATATTTTGAAAAACGAGTCACTCAAATTCGATGTAATTATGTTCGAATGTTACTACCTCAAAGTTGATAAAGCCGTGGACAGTACTCACTTCTCATTTTGCTCAAAGAGTATTTTCGTGTAGTTAAATCAAATGACACCTTGCCGGCACTTAGAGATTTAGAAAAAACAAAATGATATCATCGGCTATCCTTATTCGCTACAAGAATTTCAAGTGTTGCCCGAACGTTTCATGCCTCCCGACTAACAGTACATCGACTGCAACAAAGTTTCTCCGCAACTGGTGTCATCATATACCTTTAAAGATCAAGAAGAACACGCAAAGTCAGGACCGATTTATTCGAACGGTTTATTTGTGAAACCGTTTCTAGTGTGATCAAATTAAAATGGACACATATGCACCACCAAATAACATGCACGTTTCTCTGAATACTGTTTTCATGCAGTTTGAGGGAAGCATACATACGTCCACTCTGGTCTATCTGATGCAATCTCCTTTTTCCACGCCTTATCTACACACACAAAAAACTTCATTGGGCAAATATGCACGTCAGATAGCCTCAAGGAAACTGACTTTCTGTCATGTTCTCTGAGGAATCAAGCTTCGTGATTGAAAGGCATGATGGCAGAATCAGAATGTACAGACGTCTACATGAATGGTCAGCTCAAAACTGCATCCATGAGGCATTCATACTGGTGAGGCAGCATCATCGTAAGAGGAGGAATAACAGAGAAGGTTATAAAACAGCTTGTTATTAATTTGGGGGAACATCACTGTACAGCGGTACATACACAAAGTCCTAATATCACATGTCGTGCAATTTTTCCAAACTTGTGGACACGACTTCACGTTTGTAGACGCAGTCATAAAACCTCATCGAGTGCGAGTACCATTACATTTCTCTATTTCTCTCGCAGAACGACATTAAAAGGTTTTAGTCCACTGACAGTAATGTCCTCTGACCTTAACCCTACTGGGCACGAATAGGAAATACTTGACAGTCATGAGCGATTCTGCCAAATCCCTCTCAAAATCGGCTACAGCTAGGAAATTAACTCACAGATGCTTGGAATAATCGTTCCAATACTGTAATTTGAAACGTAATCCATTCAATGAGGCGTCCCTGTGGTTTAAAAAAAAGTAAAGTAAAGGACCCTTTAGGGTGGTGTGGTCAGCATCACGCCGGCTGCCTCTACTTCCCGGGACTGCATGCGGTACCCTCTCAAGGCTGGGTCTACCTGGGAGCCAAGGTCATTCTTTGAAGAAAACTCCGGCTCCGCCAGGGAGCGAACCCACGACCTTCCAATCCGCAGCGAGCGTCTAGCCGCTCTGCCACGGCGACTCCCGTCGCTGTGGAGTTGTGATAAAAAAAAAAAAAAACAGTGTGATTGTTCATTGTGATACCTTAAACACTGTGAGTATAGTTTCGATTACGTTTACAGATCATCGTATGGGGCGTCGCAGGTCGACCCAGCCCAAAATAGGTACCAGGATGGCTGTCCTGGGGAAGTAAAGACGGTTGGCGTAATGCTGACCACATTACTCATCCAGTGCCGACTGGTCTGTCAAAATATGGGACGCTTTTCCCATATACCCGATGCGCCTAAGGCGTGAAAAGGGATCTTCACTTTTTTCTTTTACCTTATGTTTACAGAGCAAATGTTTTTTAGTACGTATACCATTTTTAAAAAAAGAACGTAGATTGTCAGAAATTTTTGATGCAGTCGGACACAAACTACGCGAATTATTGAAAAAAAAAAAATACTACGCGTTAACTTTCTTTTGCGATGCGAATATATGTATGTATGTATATATATATATATATATATATATATATATATATATATATATATATATATATATATATATATATATATATATATATATATGTATACATACATACATATATTCGCATATATATATATATATATATATATATATATATATATATATATATATATATATATATATATATATATATATGTGTATACATACATACATATATTCGCATATATATATATATATATATATATATATATATATATATATATATATATATATATATATATATACATACATATATTCGCATCGCAAAATATATATATATATATATATATGTATACATACATACATATATTCGCATCGCAAAAGAAAGTTAACGCGTATATATATGTGTGTGTGTGTGTGGAGAGAGAGAGAGAGAGAGAGAGAGAGAGAGAGAGAGAGAGAGAGAGAGAGAGAGAGAGAGAGATAAATTTATTTAAAGCGTAAGTATGTTGCCTGCTCGTTTATTAATGCCTGATATTCCTATACGTCTGACAGGATGAGAAAAACCAGATACTGACTACAAACTGTTGGCTAAACCAGGTAAGAATTGTTTATAATTACATTAACTGCCAGGTCAAGCTTAAAATGGACTTCCCCTAGGAAGTAAAGGCGGCTGGCGTAATGTTGGCCATCTGATCTATTGAATGCTGACGGGTCTATAAAACATAATAAACAAACAGACTATGTATTGAGCAGCACTCATAGAAAGAAGTGGAAAGATATAGAAGAAAATAAAACAGAAAGATATAAACAAAAGATATAAAAATAGAAAAGTAGAAAGATGTAAATTACAAGTCTAGCACCGTATGTCAGATGCTCCAATGACTTCAGAAAGATCCTTTATTTACTAAACAGTATGTTTTATTTTTAAAGTTCTTACGTTTTTCAGTCTTTACTTCTTTCATAGACTATTTTGGTGTATGCAGTGAATGGTAATGTATCACCAAGAATGCTTTGTAAGATTGTAAACCATTTGATTGGCTCTGTTTTGCATGTAATTCTAATATTAGTTCAATGCGCTTATGCTTTCACTCCTGATGTTTCTTCTTCTTCTTGTTACTCTCGCAGTTTCTCTCGCATTGTAGGAAAAGAAAGAAACAAGAGTAGGTCGAGGACGTGGAGAAGAATAATAAGAGATAATTATAACAATATTATGAATAATAGTCGTGGTGGTTGTGGTGGTAGTGGCAGTGGTGGTTATGGTGGCAGTGGCGGTGGTGGTTATGGTGGTAGTGGCGGTGGTGGTTATGGTAGTAGTGGCAGTGGTGGTTATGGTAGTAGTGGTAGTGACAGTGGTGGTTGGGGTGGTAGTGGCAGTGGTGGTTATCATGGTAGTGGCAGTGGTAGTTTTAGTGGTAGTGGCAGTAGTGGTAGTGGCAGTGGTAGTTTTAGTGGTAGTGGCAGTAGTGGTAGTGGCAGTGGTGGTTGTGGTGGTAGTGGCAGTGGTGGTTATGGTGGTAGTGGCAGTGGTGGTTGTCGTGGTAGTGGCAGTGGTAGTGGCAGTGGTAGTGGCAGTAGTGGTAGTGACAGTGGTGGTTGTGGTGGTAGTGGCAGTGGTGGTTATGGTGGTAGTGGCAGTGGTGGTTGTCGTGGTAGTGGCAGTGGTA